CGGTCAATACATGTGTCCATGGAAGCCCAGGAACAGTGGCTCGCTGGAAAAGGGCGATTTCGCCGCTTTAAGAGACTTTATCGCGCAGCTGAACTTGGTGCAGGAGGATGTATCCGTACATCCCAACCGGAGAATTTTAGCTTCGAGTGCTTCTCGATCGTGAGCCTTTTAGGATAAGCCTTGCTTCTCGGTTTGCCTGGGCTGATGCTCGCACGAAGGAGGGCGGCCCAAAGCTAAATGGACAGGCACTCTCATCAGTTCTCGCACGGGCTCATATGGAATGTGATGGCAAGCGGTCAAGGTGCCACGGTCACAAATGAATCCAACCTGGGACGAATCCGGGTTGAACGTTCATGGAGGAAACTGCTTGGTTCAGCCTTGGTCTTTCCCTGATTGTGACCAGACCTCAATCGCAAGCGGGGCCATGAAATTGCTAAGACCCGAAGGGAAACCGCGATGGAAAGTTTGGAAACTTTCCGAAAACGTCGTTTTGCGGGAATGCAAAGAGCTTCCCTCAAAGACCCCAACATGTTTTCTTTGCCGGTGGCGACCTGTTGTATTTTTACGGGAAAAGTCCTCGTTAGGCTGGCCGTTGAGCAATTAACAACTGAGACCCGGCGCGACCCAGCCCAACCACAGACTTTCAGCTCCCGGCCAACCGCCATGCAAACGCCCAAAGCTCCAAGCAGCCGAGCTTTTTTGTATTTCCCTTGCCGCCAAGATGCTCCGAAGGCGCCTGGAAGAGCCGCCTGAGTGCCAGCCGCAAGAGAGGCGTGTGGATCGGAGATGAGGTTCGCTAGAAACGGTGTGTGCGAACTGGGACGGTATTGTATCTCTCGCTTCCCAACCGCGCCGTGGGCGGGTTTCGGTGTGACGAGGCGTGTTCTTGTCGTGCGATCCGCTGCCGGCGCGATGGTGGACAAACCGGGAAACCGGCTTTCCTTCTATCACTTACACGGACCCTCGGCCCCCTGATCCCTGCGACACATCCACCCACTCGATAACCAGGGGCCCTGACGCCAAGCCACATGGGTTCTGTGCCCGCAGTCCTCCGCCGGACCAGGGGGGCATCGAGACCAATCGCCAGCACACACAGCCAGCACCATGCAACCCAGTGTTGCTTTGCTTGCTCGCCTGTCCACTCTTTTGACCCTCCCCTCCCCTGTCGCCGTCTCTCCCGCCTCGCTCCCTCCAAGCTTCCGGCAATCAACACTCGTTTTCGTCTACCACACGCTCGGGATCACCCAGCAGCAGCAGCAACATCTTTCCTGGAGCTTCTCTGCCCGCGCCGCACCACGGCAGAAGGCAGAAGGCAGCACAGATCCTCGAGCTTCAAGTTCGAGTCCGAGGTCCATCCATCGACCAAGCGGTTGCTCTCCGCCGCCGTCACCCGCCGCTCGGGTACCGATCCTGAGTGCCGAATCCCTTTCGTTACTTGGGCTTGCAGGGCCACCTGAAGCCGTCCGTTCGCTATTTTGCATTTGGCCCACGGGGTTTTTACGCTCGCTCGCCGAACCCGTCACAGGAGATAGCTTCGCCTTGGGGGGGTGTTTGGACGATATTCAACCGGCAGTTGGCTCCGGGAGTCGACAAGCGTTGTGCCGTCTTCAACGGCAAGGATCTAATCGAAACGGGAACCCAACCCGACACTTTGGGATACCATCGCCATGGGGATCGGGAGTTATTTCAAGGCTGAGAAGCCTCAGGCGAAGCCGGCGGTGACGCCGGCCTCACCATCACGAAGCAATGCGAGGCATCAGCAGCAGCCCTCGGCGTCGGAGAACCCAGCGCCATCACTCCGGCCAGATTCGGAGCTTCAACCCCCAACACCCCGGTATAGCTCCAGGCCGCAGTCTATCTCAGGGCGGTCGGTGAGGTCGACAGGGAGCTCGGTTCTTGACGACATCAAACACGAGGTTATGGTGAACTACCTCTATCAGCAGCAATGCTCGCACTTGTGGGTGTCGGATGGGAGCGGCGAGATCGAGGGTGTCCTTCTGCGGAAGACGAGGGGGCAGTACATGGCCTGCCCACCGCAACTAGGGAACTCGCCGTTTGCCCTGGCTTGCGCCGCGCTTAATGTTCAGGTACGTCCGAGTCTTATCAGGGGCTAAAGTGGTAAACACTAACAGTGCCTAGTGCGCCATGACGGTCAACTCGAGAGTCATCAAAACCTTCCTGCAGTGGTCGCCAGACGCCGTCGATGTGCCCCTAATGAACGGCCTCCGCGTGCAGATTCTCCCCACCATCGACGACCTCCCGCGCGCACGGAAGCACCAGTTTGCCGCCTTTGTCGCTTCCGAGGGACTTTTGGTCGTGTGGGACGACGATGCGCTGCATCTCGTACAAAGAGCCAAGGCTATCGAGTCGGAGCTAATGGAGCTGGTGTGGAAGGCTGGTGGTGATGAAGACGAGGATGAGAAGGGAGGGCCGATTGTGACGGAACCCGAGGTGGATGAAGAGAGCGGCGAGCTGAAGCCGGAAAAGAGGCCGGTCCACATGCTGAATACTTACCTGGTCAGCTTGACCCTCATCCTCGTCACCGTCTCTCTTGGAGCAGCTTTCCGACAGCTAGCCATCGAGGTTTCGGTTGACGGCAGTTACCTCCGCCTCGCCCTCATTGCCTTGTTCCCGGTTCAGATCTTCTTCACCCTGTTCTTCGCCCAGGTCATCTTCGGTTGCTTGGCCCAGATCTTTGGCCCAATTCGCCAACTGACCATCAACTCCAAGTTCTACTCGGCTCGTCCCCCGCCGAGATTGCGCACCTCCGTTCTGCCCCATGTCACGGTCCAATGTCCCGTGTACAAGGAAGGCCTCAGCGGTGTCATTGTCCCGACCGTCAAGTCTATCAAGCAGGCCATGTCGACATACGAGCTGCAGGGAGGGTCGGCCAACATGTTTGTCAACGACGATGGTTTGCAGCTCATCTCGGAAGAGGACCGCAGGGCGCGTATTGAGTTTTACGCCGACCACAGCATTGGTTGGGTTGCCCGTCCGAAGCACGGCGAGAACGGCTTCTTGCGCCGAGGCAAGTTCAAGAAGGCTTCCAACATGAACTTCGCCCTCATGATTTCCTGCAAGGTGGAGGAGAAGCTGGCCGCCATCCAGCGCACCCCCGACTGGTCCCAGCACGACGAGGCCCAAGCGTACGAGCAAGCCTTGAAGGAGGTCCTCGAGGAAGACGGCCGTGCCTGGGCGGACGGCAACATCCGTGTTGGCGACTACATCTTGTTGATCGACTCCGACACCCGTGTGCCTGCCGACTGCCTGCTAGATGCCGTCTCGGAAATGGAACTCTCTCCCGACGTCGGCATCATGCAGTTCTCGTCCGGTGTCATGCAGGTCGTTCACACTTACTTCGAGAACGGTATCACCTTCTTCACCAACCTCATCTACAGCGCCATTCGGTACACAGTCTCCAACGGCGATGTCGCTCCATTCGTCGGTCATAATGCTATCCTTCGCTGGTCTGCTATTCAAGAGGTCTCGTACGAGGACGAAGACGGTTACGAGAAGTTCTGGTCGGAAAGCCACGTGTCAGAGGACTTTGACATGTCCCTGCGTCTACAGTGCAGCGGTTACATTATCCGTTTGGCCGCCTGGGCTGGCGAGGGATTCAAGGAGGGCGTGTCGCTAACCGTGTACGACGAGCTGGCCCGTTGGGAGAAGTACGCCTACGGCTGCAACGAGCTGCTCTTCCACCCGATGCGCAAGTGGATCTACAAGGGTCCCTTTACCCCTCTCTTTCGCCGTTTCCTCTTCTCCAACATCCGCTTCACGTCCAAGATCACGGTCGTGTCTTACATTGGGACTTACTACGCTATCGGTGCGGCTTGGATCATGACCAGCGTCAACTACTTCATCATGGGCTGGTTCAACGGTTACCTTGACAAGTACTACGTTGACTCGTGGCAAGTGTGGTTCTCGATTATCATCGTGTTCAACGGGCTTGGCAACATCGCCCTGGCGGTCATGCGGTACCGGGTTGGCGAGCGCAACCTCCTCTACGCGCTGTTCGAGAACTTCAAGTGGACCTTCCTGCTGGCCATCTTCCTGGGCGGCTTGTCACTCCACGTCTCGCAGGCGCTACTGGCGCACATGTTCGAAATCGACATGACCTGGGGTGCCACCTCGAAGGAAGCCGAGTTTTCGAACTTCTTCATCGAAATCCCGAAGGTTTTGAAGAAGGTGTGTACCACAACCCTTTCTTACTCGAAAGCCTTAAATACTGACCGTTGGCGCTAGTTTAAATTCTCGATGATCTTCGCCTCGCTCTTTATCGCCGGCATGATCATCCTTGCCGTCGCCCCCTTTATTCCCTACAGCTGGCACATCACCGACTTTGTCGCCATCCTACCCATGGCCACCGTCGCTGGCTCGCATCTGCTGCTGCCGCTAGCCCTCAACCCGGCGCTGATGACTTTCTCGTGGTAGACGGCCTTCATTCTTTTTTACGGCAGACTCACCCATATGTCAGAGCCTTCTGGTCGCTAAGAGGCGGCGGGTGGTTTCACGTGCCATTTAGACTGGTGTTTTGCCCGCCCCTTTGCGGGACAACGTCTCATGTCATGACCTTTTCCTATTAGCACTCAGTGCTTATTTATGCTTGGATACATAGATGGGGGGAATGGGGTTGGAGTTAATCAACGTAGGATATATTGGTAATTGTATATCTTTAATCCTACTCAACCCTTTCGGCGTTGGGTCGAGGAGAGATTCGTCACAACGATATGCTTTCTCCGCGCTTGGTGACCGCATATATATCTCACCTTGTCCCCTCTATACCTTTCTCCCCTACACCCCTTGCCCCCTGCCATGACCCTCGATATGCATGGCTTTCGTGAGAGTCCAACACGTGATCTCGGTAATTCCTCTTCGGTTCAGTGACGGGGGCAGCCAGCCACTTAGAACATGCCGTGTCACCACAGTCTTCCCCCACCCCACACATTGGAGAATCCGGAAAGAACAGAGCTCTGCCCGCCATCTTCCTTGGGCTCATCCGTGTAACCGGAGACTGGGCCTAAGTCCGACGGTACGACCTCGATGGCCGCCAGCCTCAACTCCCTTCTCAAAGCCCTCGTGAACCGGATCTCGGGTGGCCTCGGGGATCAATACATTTATTCCCCTCTGTCCGAAAATGGCAATATTCGCTTGCTGCGTTTGATGCCGCACCAAAACAGGGAGGCCCCTTTACAATGCCAGCTCTTCGAATATCCCTTGCGGAAAGCACGCCGAGGGGTACACCTTTACGAGACCTTGTCGTATGTTTGGGGTTCTGAGGAAAACCTGAAACACGTCTATATCCGATCAGGGGATAAAAACCAGCGTTTGCTCGTCACGCCAAATCTCCACGCAGCCCTTTCACACCTCCGAGATGAGCTCTTAGAACGCATCCTATGGATCGATGCTATTTGCATCAACCAGAAAGACAAGGTCGAAAAGGGACTGCAGGTCCAGTTCATGGCTGAGATATACGCGAATGCCAACCGCGTCATCGTCTGGCTTGGGGAGGCGGCAAGTGATAGCGACCAAGCGTTTGAAGCACTACGACAGGCCGCCAGGGAAGGCAGCACACAGCACTACATCGACGAGCCGACCGAGCAAGCAATCTTTACTCTGCTTGAACGGCCATGGTTCCGACGCATTTGGGTACGACACATGGTGATTCAACCAAAGACTTGGGGGATACGAGTTTGCTAACAAGTTTGGTCACAGGTCGTTCAAGAGGCTGCGGCAGCTCGGCAGATCTTGATGAAGTGTGGCCCTTGGGAAGTTGATGGATTTGTGTTTTGTTCAGGCATCGCCGCCTTGAACCTGTCCTACACCACCCACCCACATCTACGAGGTCTGATTCCTCCGATGACGTATCTCGTACGAGATGCAATCTTCCGGCCTCGGGATACTATAAGCCAGCCCGAAACAAGCCAGCCCGCAACAAGCCAGCCCGAAACAAGCCAGCCCGAAACAAGCCAGCCCGAAACAAGCCAGCCAAGAACATTCTCTCTCAACATTCGGCCACTGGGCGAGCTGGTGGATATGTACCACAACCGTGAAGCTACGAACCGTCTCGACAAGGTTTATGCCTTGCTCGGCATGAGCTCTGATGACCACACGACGGCGGAGTTATCAGTCGACTATGATCTGCCGTGGGAAACAGTCTTTCGGAGGCTTGTCCAATCTCTCCTCTCCGACCAGGTGTTTGTGGATATATGGGATGATCGCGCCGTGGCGGTGATCCAAGGCAAAGGCCATATCTGTGCCACAGTGACTCAAGTCGACGGTCACGATACGCGAAGTGATATACAGCTCATAACCATCACTTGTAAGGAAGCGCTTGGTAATTGCAAGAAGTGGTGGTCCTATCAATACCACCTCCGAGCTTCCGCCAATCCTATCCGCGTAAAAGATGCGGTTTGTATTTTACAAGGATCAACGATGCCCACGATCGTCAGATTCCACGAGGGGGGCTACTCTACCATCATCATGATCACGGCTTCTCTGGGAGAGCCAGATCAAAGATGGTCGGAACTCATACAATCTCTCCCAAAATCCCCAACAGACTTCGTCATGATTTGGGACTGGGACGCACCTCAAGACGGATCGCAAGATCAAGACTATGAATCCCTCATCAGCAGCCGAGGGGGGCCCCAGCGGCCTTGGACAGAGTCGCAAGACTATTTGGTCAAGGCCATCAGATTGTGGAACTTCGGGATATTGCTGAATGGAGTCGAGGATTACCCAGACGCAGGGGAACACCTCCGAAACGCCGTCGAGGCGTATGCCGCGGCATTGAGGAGCGCCGGAACTCCTCCCGATTATAGCGCTTGGACGGGGGCGGATGAAGAGGCACTGATGGCAATGGACAACCTAGTCACTGGAGACGAAGACGCCCCTGTTGAAACCGAGAGGTTTAACGACTTGACGCCACTACTTTGGGCTGTGGAGAAGGGGGATGAGGGCCTCGTGAAGCTGCTGCTTGAGAAAGGCGCGGTTCTTGATGTTGTGGCCAGCAGTGGCCAGACGCCCCTAGTCCGGGCTGCAGAGAAGGGGTACATCGGCGTCATGAAGCTTCTACTTGACAAAGGCGCCACTATTGGTGCTGAGGCCGCTGATGGCCGGATGAGGCTACGGTGGGCCGTGGATCGGGGGTACGAGAGCGCGGTGAAGTTGCTGGTTGACGAACGCATCAGTTTGGACGTCGACGATGATTATTATTACGACAACGATCAGGATTACGCCGACGCACTTCAGGATGCCTCCACTCAAGGCTATGACAACATCGTTCGGATATTACTCGACAGTGATATATTAGCTACCTATAGTCGGAGCTACGGTAAAGCAATTCTCGGTGCCGTTCGTGCAAGCCACGACAAGATCGTTCAGATGCTACTCGAGAAGGGTGCCGATCTATATGCCAAGGGTATCAACCTCTTTAGCAGGGCACTTCTGGATGCTGCTGATGACAGCGATGGCAACATGGTTCGGATATTACTCGAGAAGGGCGCCGATGTGAATGTTGAGGGCGGCACCTTTGGCAATCCGCTTCAGACTGCGTGTTATTACGGCGACGACGAAACTGTTCAAATGCTGCTCGAGAAGGGTGCCGATGTGAATGCTCAAGGTGGCGAGTACGAAAGTGCGCTTCGGGCTGCCTCTTCGGCCGGCTACAACAATATCGTTCGGATGCTACTCGAGAACGGTGCCAATGTGAATGCTCAAGATGACTACTCCGGCAATGCACTTTACAGTGCCTCTGGGGCAGGCCACGACGAGATTGTTCAGATGCTACTTGAGAAGGGCGCCAATGTGAATGATCAACATGGCTTATACGGTAACCCGCTTCAGAATGCGTCTTTCCATGGCCGCGACGAGATCGTTCAAATACTACTCGATAACGGTGCTGATGTGAACGCTCAGGGAGGCCTCTATGGGAATGCGCTTCAGGCCGCCTCTCATGGAGGCCACGACAAAACTGTTCAGAGACTACTCGATAACGGCGCGAATGTGAATGCTCAAGGTGGCGAGCACGGAAATGCGCTTTTCGCTGCCTCTGTCAAAGGCCACGATAAGGTCGTTCGGGTATTACTCGACTGGGGTGCCGATGTGGATGCCCAGGGCGACTACTACGACACTGCACTTCAGGGTGCCTATGCTAGACGCCATGATCATATCGTTCAGATACTCCTCGAAAACGGCGCCAAGGAGTTGGATTGGGAGCCAATTCAGGATTAGGATCAGTTCAATGTTATGTTTCGAACTCTCAGACTCTGGGGGCCCTCCTCGAACTGACTCGGCGTGGAGGTTAATGAGGTACATTGGGAGACTCAAGAAGATGGCCGGCATACCCAGGGGTAATTCCACAGTCATGGGAGGCTCGAGTGGAATACCGTACTCAGCAATCACTATCACAAATCACCAAATGCCCATCATCGCCAGCATGACCAAACCGAACTCAAGAAACAACCAAGACAGGTCCTTCTATTATGCCCGCACCCAAACGCCTGTAGCTAAGCCAGAGCCTCTATCCCATACTTTTTGTCCAACCCAAATGCCACACACACACACATCAAGTCTAAGTTGGCTGAGTCTACCAACATATAGTATAGTAACCGACCGACCGCCCCTCTTCATTGCACCTCTTCATACCTCGTCCCTACTCCGCCTCATCATCGGTATCCAGCGGCTTGGGCGTACCCTTGGGGCTATTCAGCCACTCGATATGCCTGAGCCTGCGCCGGACCTCCTTCTCCTTGACCTCCTTCTTGGTCAGCTTCTTCTTCTTCTTGGCCCTGAACTTCATGCTCTCGCCCGTGACGCCGCCGTTGTCCTCGGCGCCGCTGTTGACGGCGCTGCTGACGGCGCTGGAGCTGAGCGCGGGGGTGTTGAGGCCGCTCGTGAGGGCCGAGGCCGGCTTGCTGGCCCCGCTGTCCTCGAAGCGGTCGAGCGCGGCGGCCGACGCGCCGCGGTGCGCGACGCGCCCGTCGTAGACGTGCCACTGCTCCGCCGCGAGGGCGCCGACGAACTCTTCGTTGTGGGAGATCATGACTACGCCGCCGCGGAAGTCGCGGATGGCGACGGCTAGGCCGCCGAGCGAGTCGCGGTCCAGGAAGTTGGTCGGCTCGTCGAGGACGAGCAGATGGGGGTTGTTCCACATGGCGCCGGCGATGACGACCTTGACCTTTTGGCCGCCGGACAGCGAGCCGATCTCGTTGTGGTTGGCAATCTCGGGGTCGAGGCCGAGATCCTCGAAGTGCTTGGAGATGATGGACGGCTGCAGTTCGCGGTAGCCGAGGCCTTCACGCGAGGCTTCGTGGTCGTCAAACTCCTGGACAAGCTTGGCGAAGCCTAGGTCAAGCAGCGTTTCCCGCGAGATCTGCGTGTTGTGCTTGGGAAGGAAGTTGCGCCATTTCCTGAGTGTGTCAGTACGAAAAGATTAACAGCCTAGGGGAATGAAGTTGGGAGACTTACACCTCGTATTGAAAGGTCTTCTTGTATTTTTGCCGACCGACTAGGGACTCGATCTGGCGCTTGCCCCTCCCGTCGCCAACGTCGACAAACTTGTCCATCTGTTCCCGGTCCGCGTCGGACAGGATACGGGTCTGCTTCATGTGCACCTCGCGGTCGTCGCCGTGGGCGTACCGCCATTGCAGGTACTGATTAGGTGTCTTCTCGAGATGCATTTCCACGTGCTCGAGCGCGTGCTGCTTGATGTAGCCGATACGCAGGTTGGGATGCTTCTCGACCCTGCCGGAGATAGGGATCACCTCACCCGTCAGAAGCTTAATCAGGGTCGACTTGCCAGCACCGTTGGGGCCAATGATAGCGACGCGTGATGACAGGGTGAGCTGGCAAGAAACATCGCTCAAGGACGGCTTGGGCGCGTTGGGGTAAGCGTATGAGACGTTGGTCATGCGGATGATGGCGCGTGTATGGGACTTGACACCTGAGAGAATACCAGGGGGTGGGAACTTGAACTGGACATTCGAGGCCGACAGGGTGTAGTAACTCTTGGCCTCCGGGCGGACCTCGACAAAGGCGGCAAGGTTGCCCTTGTAGTGGCCCAGCTTTTTGCCGGGTTCGTAGTGGTAGATATCGGTCGTGACTTCGTCGAGGAAACCGGAGTCGTGGGACACGATCAAGCTAGTGATGTCGGTGTGCGACTTGAGGTAGGTCTCCAGCCATTTGATGTTGGTGACGTCGAGATGATTCGTAGGTTCGTCCAGCAGCAAAACATCGGCTCTCTGGAGCATGGCACGGGCCAGGGCCAACTTCATCTTCCACCCGCCAGAGAGCGAGCCGACGTTCTGAGACTGGCGGCCCTCGGGGCCGGTTGTGAAGCCAAACTCCTCCAAAACGGAGGAGATCCTCTCCTTGCCCTCTTTGGCGATGGTAGGGTCCTTGGAGACAAACTCGAGAATGCTGATGTCGGCATCCTCACCCTGGTTATGCTCAACATAACAGGTCCGCAGCACATCCTGAGACGGGAAGCCCTCCAGCTTGCCGCTAGCAATACTTCTCATTAGCGTCGACTTTCCGGCGCCATTCCTGCCGCAAAGGCCGTAGCGGTGCCCCTTGAGCAGTCTGAGGTTCGTGTGTGAAAGCAGAAGCATGCCACCGTAAGCGAGCGAGAAGTCGGCGTTGACAATCTCGATTTCGCCGTCGTCCTCCTTCTCGGGAACGCCGTACTTGCGGTGGTCTTCCTCAACATAGAACTTCTGGACGGAAGCAGCAATGGCTTCTGCTGCGGGCGTCAGAGACTGGAGATACGGAGTGATTCTGGGAGGGATGCGGTCCAATTGGCGGTGGTTGACGTCTTCGCTAACCATTTCGCTGATGTACGGGCGCGCTAGGTTGTAAGCGTTCTGGTCACCGGAGAGGCCGCCATTCTTCTTGATATCGGCATCGAGAACCTTGGAGACATCATCGACCGTGGTCCGCTCAACGACGGCAGTTTTGTCGTCGCCCATAGCCTTGTCCATAACGCCCAGGGCGCGTGTCGCAAGCTCGCGGACTTCGGGGAGCGAAGCCCTGTCAACGACGCTCTTGACGCCGGGCTGAAGCTTCGGCAAAAAGGTCCGGGCCTCGATCGGGTCGTGGACGAGCTTGGTCAAGTTCTCGGTAATGACGACTGTCTGGCGGAGGACTTCTTGTGGGGTGGTCGGGTTGTTCAGAGAGCGCTCGAGGAAGGGTGTGAGTAGAGCTAGGACGGGCGAAGTGACGATGGCAACGAAAGTGGTTTGCGAGAGGGCGTGGATGGCCTTTTGCACGGCCTCGGTCGAGGGATGGTGCATGGTATCGACGAGGAGAGGAATGCGCGGCGCAACATCGTCGTTGGAGAGCAGAGTGGTGAGAGAGTTCATGGTCTTGACGGCCTGCTTCTCCACCTCACTCTTCATGTCAAGCATGCCGTTCTCAACGATGGGGATGAGGCTCGCAAGCTTGGCACCCATTGCTTCGCGTAGGAAGTCCTGCTCCTGTGCCTGTTCCTTTGTGCTCCCGATGGCGATCTTGGCTTTATCGGCCATCTTCTGCATCAGCTTCAATGCGCCGACGACACCCTGCCACTTCCCGCCGGCTTTCTTGATGTACTGGGTGAGCGCGGGCAAGAGTCCTACGACCATGGCCTCAGCGCTTAGGTTGGAGAAGAGGGCATCGATGCCGTACTGGGCAGCGTCCCGCACAACGGCGCCCTTGTCGGCGAGAGCATCGAAGGCGCAGCCGAGAATGCCGCCATCCTGGAGGAGGAAGACAATCTCGCTGATGGGCTGGCGCGCGGGGAAACGTTCGAACAGAGCGCCGAGAAGATTCTGGGCGCTCTCGCGACGAAGACCGCTTTTCTTGTCGGCAGCGGCCTTCTTGACTTCGGCAACGACGCCGTAGTGGTGCAAGCCCTGGAAGCCGACGGAACTGAGCAAGAGCTCGCAGAGCCCGTAGCAGGCGTCGACAGAGGCGGAAGAGGTCTTGGCGGTGAAGATGGTGGTGAGAACGGATGATATTTCGGCTTGTGTGGGGGCCGGGGCGGCGCCGTCGGGGGGCTTGATGGGCACCGTCATGGTCGGCGGCGAGACGGGATGTGGCATACTCTGTCGGGCGGTTCTTGGCTTTTCGGTTCGGCGCAGCGCAATGTGATACAATGTAAGGCGTGAAATGGAAATGCGCGTGGCCCGACAGACGCCCGTTTTTTACAATCCGGGAGCGTACTGTGGAGGACAAGACGGGAGTGGAGGGACGGGATCGGGTGCTGATGAGGCGCGGGTTTTGTCGTTGGCGGTGGAGTGAGTGCGCATTGCCCCGCGCCCTCGAATTTTTGCCAGACGCAGCGCTATCTGGCATGAAATTTCTCTTATCAGGCCCGGAAGCCCCACCATTCCGCCCGCCAATGAGGGGCATGTGGGCCAACATGTGCGAGGGTGTGAGGCATGGCTTGAAGCAGCGATAACTCACTTCTGGCTCGGGGTTGGGGTTAGGCGGCATGACATTTCAACAACCGACGACAACGTTCAAACACCATCATGACGAACAGGCGCGGCGATACGATGAAGGGCTAAATGGATTATCATTTTAACCTAAGAGGTTCCTAGAAATACAACTCCCTAATCACTAACTCCCCAGCTCATGTAGGTATCTACCTTCGCTCGTCATCCCCTGGCTAACGGTTGTTGATATATCGCCATCTTCAACGTACTAGAGACGAAACCTCGAGAAAGAAATTTGAGACTTATCCGTGAGTTCAGATCTATCCTGTGGTATAATCGCTTTGCCGAGGCTGGGTGCTCCAGTCTGACACTCCAGTCGTGCAATCTGACCGCCTCAAGCCCCCACCCCCTCTCGCTCTTCGTTGGAGTATCCCAAGCAACGCCCGGTTCCCCAACAATGCTTTGCGTTCTGAACATTTGCTAGTCGGCAACTTCTCGGGATAGCCACGCTTTGTACCTTTTTTAAGCTTCACAGCCGCGCTAGTCCTCTCGACGCAAAAGGGTCTCGGCGGAGCTGACAGAGCTGACGGGGGCTGACATCAGTGACATGTCTGTCTGTTCGGCAACCGGCGAGATGCGATGCATGACCGTGTTGCTAGCAAGAAACAAAAGTGTCTCCGACTTTTCGGGGGGCCAAAACGTCCTGCAATGAGCAGTTGATGTACAAACTTGGTCGGAAACCATCGGTATTGGGGGCCGCGGGATGCCCGTGGACCGTGGATGCGTCAACCGTCAGCATCAAGTGCAATGCATTCACCACCGCAACCCTGCAGGCGAAAGCCCCATCCGCCAAACTTGGATGCAAGAGAGGCGAGAGAACAAGTGTTTTGGAATTCTCAATTTGTCGTCTTGATATAATCCGTCAGCTCGGACCCGGTAGATCCGAGCCCCTTGGCTTTGCGCGGACGAACCCGCAGCCCCCAACTCCGATTCGCTCCCGGCTGACGGATACCGGTGATCATTGCGAGAGTCATGAGCGTTACTCCCCACAAACAAATTCCAAATGCAGCTTATAGGGCTGAGCCTCGGATGAAAGCCCGCAAGACGTTGGGCTGGGGATGATGACCCGCTCCACGGGAGAGCCGGGAGGTCCCGAGCCTCTTGTCCGGCCTCGACCCGTACAATCGGGTTCCCCGTCGTCATTGTCGTCTGCAAGGTACTATATACCGACACCAGGTGACAGATACCGGTATGCAAACGTGCGGCGTGTGGCGGAAACGGTCCTCGGACCTGCTCGAACCGGCTCTAGCCTTGTGTATCCCGCGCCCATAGCCACGCTGTACAACAAGGCGAGGCGGTGAGCTACCTGCGTGTTTTGTCAACACAACCACGCCACGAATATTCCTGTTTCGTTTGATTTCCAGGAATTGTGCTCGGGGGCGTGTCGGTTGCTGGTGGTGTCCCGGTCTTGGGACTCAATGGTGTTCCCTTCGCCTCACACTTTTACAGCCCTTCCGAAGCACAAACACGTCAGAGGACGCTACATAGTGTCACCCCCGGGTACCATTTGAGGGCTTCCCACGTCTATTGTCGAGTCGGGTCAGCTTCGCTCCCACCTCAACCCATGCACACAAATATCAACAACAGCGTGACTTGGACACTTGAGGTAGATATGCCATATAAAATTGCATTCTGAGTAAAGGTGCCACCGGGACAACCCATATAGATCCCTCTCAACCCTAACGCTCTGCGTGATTCCCAGCCTAAACAACCGTGTAAGTCGTGAGAAAAGGGGCTTTGGGTGGGGTCGGCTAGCAACCCCTTTTCGCCCCTTTTCGCACCACAACCCTTAGGCAAACCGCCCGAAGAAACCCCTTTCCAACAAGAGAGAAAATAAAAAAGGAACCTGAATAAACAAAAATGGTACCCCAAACAAACCCGGCATCCCGTGCCATCAAACAAGCGCCCCCCACCCCCCATCCCCCCTCTTACAGCCACCCCAACAAGCCAACCCAGCAGCACCCTCCCCCAAACCGACCAGAGACTTAGATGTCTCCCCCAACACCACCTCACCCCTCTCGCCCCAAACCGCACGCCATGCCCCCTCAAGGAGTATTAGGCGGCGACGGATTGTTGGGCGGCGGCCGCGGCCCCAACGGACCGGGCCGGGGGCGGGCAGGCGGCGGGGTGGGCGGCGGGTCCGGGTTGGGGTGGCTGGAGGGCGCAGGTGTCCCGCTCCCCGCGGAGGAAGGGGAGAGAGTGAGATTGTGGTTGTGCGTTAGGTTGGGAAGCTCATCATCATGGTTATTGTCGTCTTCTTCGTCGTCGTCGGCGTTGTCGTACGTGGGGAACGACGGGTGGTGGTGGTGATGATGATGGTGATGCTCCGTGGGGAAGAGGGGGAGAGTGGCTAGCTCGAGATGGGATGTTCCTCGGAGGGTGATCATCGTGCCGGGAGGGTTGATGCCCGGACTTGGGGAACTGAGGTGAATATGTTTGTATGTATGTGTGTGTGTGTGTGTGTTTGTGTTTGTTTTGTGAGCTGATGATTGGGGTTCGGGTATCTGGAGTGTGTGGCTGGTTGGGATGATGAGATTTGACCTGAGGCAGCGCCCTCATCGGGGCCTTATATACCTTTCCATCCTCTCTCGAAGAGACATGACTCAAAGACGAACCAAGGAGCGTCGAGGTCAAGTGTTACGGACAACCGCGACTTGTAGCACAAGGACCGTGTAACACTGACTGAAGTCACTTCAAGACAGCGCGTGTCACCATGCCGCGCTTGGGCGCTTGTGTGGACCGATGAACAAAGAAAGCACTAGCGTGAAGGATCCGACTGAGCCCTATCAGGAGTGTATGAGGACATATGGACCCGGCATGTGGCGGTGACAGCTTCGGAGGCCCTCGGAACTCAAAGGCGGCGGCCATTGGGGGAGAAGAGAGCGTCGACCACGCGGCTTTTCCTGGTGGCTATAGCGGGTAGGGCGTGTGGACAGGATAGGGAGCTGGTTGCCTGCGTGGCCTACGTGACCGGCGCTGGACAAACAGTGACGTCGGCGACGGACTGGGAAGTTGGGGGCGACAGACTCTTCCGTAATCGATGAAAGTCAACAGGTAAACGCGACACAGCCAGCATATCCAAGCTCATCAGAAACGGACTGGGGTCAGCCACTGCTGCTCGGGTGGACGAGGCTGTGGTATGCGCGGTTCTGCTGTTGCCTATGACCCAGCAACCGGTTGGAAATGGCGGGATAGCAAGAATTACATTGCGCATCTGCAAGTAAGCAGCATGCAGGCCAGGGAGCTTGGACTGGCGGTGATGGTGTATGGGCGGGCGCGGGATGTTGACGCAAAGTCCGGTAGGCCCGCGGCCCGGCTGCCAGGAGAGCGGTCCTGTGTGACGACGGCTTCACCGATGTACCCAAGGTGGACTCCATGGAAGCCGGGACGAGATACACGACCCGCTTACTTCTCCGTCCAACTTCGTATCTCGAGCGAGTTACCGGCGTGTTGGTGTTGGGGCCGGAGTGGGCCGGCCCAATGGCGACCCTTTTCTCTCCTGCAGCTCCCTGCAGAGCTGCCGCATCTGCAACTGGCCGATCTGAGACAGCCGAGTCCCGCTCCACGGGAGCAACTGCACACGGGTGAGCTTGCTTGCATTGGCCCCCGCGGACACAACTGACCTCCGGTAGGGCTGACTGTGATGCTTGGCAGGCGATGGTCTCTCCCAACTGTTCTTTGTCAGTCTCAAGGGATGTTAAGGTCAGTGGAACAGCCCCCGAGCTCAAGGCTCGAAGAACCACAGCAGCCTGAGTGTGGGTCAAACTGTCACACTTCATGTAGCTAAGCCCTGGTCAACCGTTCATGCCTTGACTGCCAGGGAATCTGACGTGAACTCGCTGAGTCGATCAAGTGTTGAGGGCATCGCCCCGTAGCAGAGCATCCAGACAGGACACTGCACTACAGAAGAAAGGAGATGCTTCCCCAGGACCAACAGGGTAGGCAGTTACCCGCAGGGCCAAGCGGCCGTTGCCAAAGGGCATTACTAAGTGCCACTTCTCTGTCCTCGAGCTCGCAGCTGGGGACAGGACAGGACTTGCGTCTCGTACGTTGGACCATGGTATGCTTTTCCGGACGGACTTGCCGGACAGGCCGTTTTGCGACCGTCTAATGCATGTAATGTGCGGATTGCGTGGGGGCAAGCAGCGCTCCCTCCCCCCCCCCCCCCCCACCCCCTAATGCACCAGTCAGACAGATATGAAAGGTGTCGATGTATCATACATACGCACCACAGTTAGGTTCCCGGGCTGGTTACCAATGAATTTCGGTCGGTGGTTCACCTCCACGACTCAAATTGGCTTTTGCAACCTGATTAAATTGCGTGTAAGTCGTCCTCGGGCATGCACGTGAGCACCGGGAACGTCAACCCCGGCCTCGTGTAACCCGTCGCATAATTAAACATAGGGCTGACTGCCGATGCTGGCACCCCCCGTGGGGGCTGAAGGATCGGGGGACAGCTAGACTTGCCTCGGGCCCGATCACAAGGACTGTATGGCACGTGTGTCACTACAAATATGGCTTGCGCCACAGTTTGGAGGGACAAGAAGTCGCTGAAAAAAGGCTAGTGGGCCTAAGACATGAAACTTGGTGCTTCGTAACCCAGCGACTCGCGGTGGTGGTCCAAACCAAAGCTCTTACTAAAAATGTGTCGACTTGGAGCTACAAAGCTTTCCGAGAACCTGAGTAACCATTGGGGGTTTGACGATTGCTGGCTAGCTTGGTGACAAGATCATCCGTTCGTCTAGAACCCATTAGCCTAGCAACGCCGGATGCTGAAACACACGTGCCAGGAAAGCCACCTGCTCCTTTTCCCATTGTCCATTCTTTTGTGACCCGACCATTCAACCCAAACGCCAACCGTTTCCGAAAGCCTCCACATGATCTGATTCTCCCCGTCGCTTTCATCTCCTATCCCGGCTGCGACTACGGGATCTGCTCCGCCGGTCGTAACTTTCATAGCTATCGCGGCTGGGGCTTCTCCGCCTACCGTGACTGCGGCCTCCCCTGTGATCTCGACCTCCGCGGCCGGCAGGCGTTCGCGATGGCGATCTCGATGTGTAAGATGCCGACCGGGACCGGTACCGGCGAGAGCCACTAGCTGCGGGTGATCGAGAGCGTGACGCGGATCGGGGACGGTAGACGTCGGAGCGATGACCGTAGCGGCCAGAGCCACCGACAGCTGGTGACCTCCGAGCCCGACCCGCGGGAGGCCCGCCACCAGAGGGTCCAAGGACAGACCTGACGTTGGCCGGGGGACCGCGGGGACCACGGCGAGCTACTGGGGGGGAGGGCGAGACTTTGCGGCGTGGGAGAACAATCGACACGTTAATAACACTGCCGTCGAGTTGGGCTTCGTGCATGTGCGTGATGGCAGCCTGAGCGTCGGCCTCGTTGAAGTAGAGGATGTAGGCTGTGCCGCGGTTCGTTTTGGCTGTAGTAAACGGTCAGGCTTCCTATCCTTCCAACATTGACTGGCAGTTTCTAGGGAGGGGACGACGCCCGGGATGCGACCCACATTGTTTATTGACCGGAAGATCGAGGTCGTCAATGTCGCCGTAGTGGCCGAAGATCTCGCGGAGGTGCTGCTCGTTGACATTCTTGGTCAACCGCTCGACGACAATCTGCATAATTTCCGGTTAGCCGACTGAACGGTTGAGACCCGACTCGCCCAAGTCTACCGAGGAGATCTGCTTGCCTTTGTAGACTTCGCGAGAGGACTCTCACTACGGGTCCTGCTGCGCGAACGGGTTTCATCCCGACTATAGCTTCGGCCACGCGAGTCGCTCCGGGAGCGGGTGCGACTGCGGCTTGGTGTGCGGCTCGTGGTGCGACCGCGGCTATAGCTGCGGCTACGGTATTTGTCATCCCTTGCTGGGGAGCGCGCATGACCGTCTCGGTCGTTGGAACGGCGGCGCCCCATGGCTGGCGAGGGCGATCTGGAACGGGGCGAGTTGGGTGTTCGGGATCGGGAGCGTGACGGCTCGTCAAGAGCCATGAGCTCGCTTTCCCTGACGGGAGAATCCATGGTAAGTACCGAGCGTGGAAGGTAGCACAATCCGTGGGGCGAGCGAATCAAATGATACCGGCGGAAGGTGGGTTGGAGGGTTGGAAACCAGAAGTGATGGAGCTCGGGCGCGCTTGCTTGATGCAGAAAGCAGAAAGACGCGGCGGTGCGATAAACACGTGATTGGACAGCGGAATCAGTTCGCCCCACCTGCCTTTTGCGAGCACGGTCGTTTGCGTCATTCTCTTGGCATCCCCTTCAGCGTCTCGACGCCCTGAAAGCAATTCAGCAATCAACAATCCTCACCTTCCTAGCACCAAATCCAGAATTGCACGGACGGATACGATGCAAGGAGCAATCTCAGGATGCTATTATAGGTAGTAAAAGAAGGGCCAGACCGTGAAAAGTTAGGCGGAGCATGCCCACATTTTGCCTTTTTTTCTAGGGGACTTGAGACGTCCTACTCGTGCCGCTGTCTTCTTCCCGTCCGTCCCATCTAATGGGAAAGCCTCACAAGGGATCCCTATCGTGACATGGCCTCCTACCCCTGAGCCCACTTCACTCCTGAGGTTCCTTCGAGAATTTAGCGACCCGGGCACTTTCACGTTGTCAAGGTGTGTTCTACTACGGTCCGAGAAAATTGATGGCAGCATGTGGACAAACATTCAAGCTTTCAGTCCCTGCATTTTCGCGACCTCCTCCGAACCTGCATCGCGGTGCTGAGGCCCTTCCCCTTACGTCACGGCCTTGCCCTCATTGGATGAACACCCCAACACCAGCAACCAAGCTTCCGGAAGTTCGACCCTTAACGGCTTCGCGTTTGACGTCATGCCATAGATCATCACCACTACGGTAAAATCAAGTTTACCGAATTAGAAAGATGATAATATTGGGCGAAAAGAAGAGAAGTCAAATAGAGTTGGTTTCCCATCTGTGTAAACCCATCTGTGACCCACAACTTGCCCCTTTCTTGACTTACACAACAAAAGCTATCTCGATCTCAACCACAGCCAAGTAAACCACACCATGGGTCTCTTCTCTCGCCACGCCGAACCAGCTCACGAGCCGGCACCTCAGCCTCAACCTACCTATGAAGAGCCGCCTAGGAGACACGGGCTCTTCGGAAGCAAGCACCACTCTCCCACTCACGCACCCACCAATGCCACCCACAGCACGCGGAGCAGCACCACGACGTCTTCCCCCGACCGCAGTACCGGCGGCATCTTCCGCCGGTCCACTGACGCCAGCCACAATCCCAGCGGCCACCAGCGCGGCAGCGGCAACGGTCTGCTCCATCGGACCTTCGGCAACGGCAACCGCGAGGAGATGGATCCCAGCATCGTGCACGCCCGCGAGCGCGTCATGGGCGCCGAAGCCGCCGAGATGGAAGCCGACCGCGCCCTGATCGCCGCTCGTGAGAGCGTCCGCGAGGCCCGCGAGCACGTCCGCATGCTGGAGCTCGAGGCCAAGGAGGAGGCCCGTCGGGCCAAGATCAAGGAGCACCATGCCAAGGAGTTCTCTAAGAGAGGGAAGATGCTGGGACGTAAGTGCCGTCGGTCGTGTGTTTCATTGTTTAGTTACTGACGCAGTGGTGTAGGGCATGACCATTGAGTCGTCGGGGATGTTATTTGTTCCTTGCAGACACCTCTTCGTTGACTCTTCGGATATATATTCCGCCACGTTCACATCACATTTTGACTTAGTTTCCTTACTGTTGTACACTACTGTAATATCTGGCTTTCAGCAATATACCATTAGCGCGTTGTTCCAAAAGAAATACGAACCATTTTACATGGAGATTGTGGTCAACCCACCGCCCTCAAAGACACACGCACACGGCGAGAACACCAAGCGTAATATTGGTTGTAGTAGGGATGTATAATACCCAAAGTTCCCAAGACCAGCTTACTCCCTATCCCAAACCCGCTACCAAAAAGGAAAAAAAAGGAAAAAAGACAAAAGAAAAGAAAAAAGAGCCCCTTATGTCCTCCTCCAACCTTCCAACCCACCCCTGTCAACCCACGTCCAACAACTCAACTCCATCATCCCACCCCCATCACCCCACCCACTCATACCTCCTCCCCAAAAGAACACTCAAAGCAAAACCATCAACCCCCCCAAACCCACCACCGCACCAACCACCCCCGCCACCCACCGCCCTCCAGCCGACCCTCCATCAGCACCACTCCTATGCCCGTCGACACACGTACAGTTGCCACACTTGTGCTCGGCGCGCAGGGCATTCAGCGCGGCGAGCTCGGTCGCATTCTTGCTGCAGTCGCATGTTAGGGGGGGCCGGCGGCAGCGGCGGCGGTGGCTTCTGCTGTGCTGGATGGCGCTGTTGAAGACGCCGGGGCCGGTGTTGGGGTTGGTGGTTTGTGCTAGGTTGGTGTTGGTGTTCGTGTCGGGGGTGGGGGAGGGTTGGGCGGTGGAGCGTGTGGTTGTGGATATGGATGTGGATGTGTCGGGGAGGAGGATGTGGTGGGTGATGCCGCCGGCGGCGGCCATGTTTGTTGTGGGTTGGATGTTGGTGTTGGCTGCTAGAGCCCCCGTTACGCCGAAGAGGAGGGCTGGGAGGATGGTGAGAGGAAGGTGGAGCATGTTGACGGTGATCCCGATGCTATTTTCGATAGGGAGGGTCTTGGGCTAAAGAGCCTGGGGGGCGATGCCGGCGGATAACAAAAGGGGAAGTGGAGAGCTTGAGCAATGCCGATGGCGGCGAGGCGTGGTTAAGAAGCCAGATTGTGGTTTATATAGATACGCATACTTTGTTGTGAATGCTTGCTGTGACTGGTCGTCGGTCGTGTGAGCTAGGCCATGTGGTTGCTGTAGGTTCGGATGTTCGTGGAAACTTGTGCACCTCACGATACCCCAGCAGCTCTGACTAAAGAACCGCTGACTTCGATATGTGATGCATTGGGTAGCCCTTCGATTTGGAGTTCTTTTACCCCCCCACTGATCAAGAAACAACGCATCCATCACCCAGGTGATCTTCGTCACCATCCGTTTGAGAGACAAAGCACTGAGTAGAAGATACTTTGTACGTTATAGGCTGGGTCTGGCATTGTGAGGAAGTCAAGTCAGTGCTTCCCACGCTCTCGGCAGGGCTGGTGGCTCGGGGTGAAGGGAGAGGGCCTCGCTGGGTTGGCGTGATCGCCCCGTCAGCGTTACGGTCATCCTTCGTTGACTGGGTTGGTACAGGCATGATTATTTGATCCGTTAGAAACGTAACTTGTGAAGAAAGATGATTGATCGTAACGAGCGGCTCGTGCAACCCCGGTTTTGTATGGCCGTGACCCCAAAACTCGCTTCTTTATTCACACCCAAAAACAGGAGACCCCCGCAGCAAGCCATGCTGCGAGTCTCAGACAAAGAAAGCGGGGGGACACGCACAATGCTTGCTATGGATCGCTTAGTATTATCAAAGTTCCAGAACCCTCGCCGAAAACCCGAATTCGCTATGTGTTGGAGGTAGGACCACGAGTATTACATAACAGCACAGAAAGCCCTGATATCACTCCCACTGACACCCCTAATAACCTAGACAGAAGAAGATCAACTAAGTAAAGGAAATATGCGGTGTCCACAGCAGGATTCCTTTATCCAAGAAGTCGTGGTCGGCTCTCTTATCCTCCTTTCCAGCCAAGACCCCGCCCTCATGCGTCGGAACTACCAACAACTCTTTCAGGGGGTGGGCTTTCTCAGCCCATTCGGGCACCCTCTCATAGGTGCGCAAATGATCCGGCCGGTTCCGCAACATTTCGGCCTCCTCAGGTATGAGAAGCGCCGGCATCTGCCGATCCAGTCCCAATGTCACACGTGCGTTGAAGGCGCGCACGATGAGGTAAGTGCATCCCGCGAGGAAAGCGTAGCGCTCTGGGTCGGGGTCCTGAGGATCGGGGATTTCGTGGACAGGCCAGGTCTTTTTCCGCCAGAAGGCTTCTAGGCAGTTGCGGTAGTTTGTGACGCTGTCGAGGGCGACGAACTCGTAGAAACGGTACAGGGCGTAGAGTGGCTTGTCCTCGTACTCGCCCTGGGGCGCACCGAACTTGCGGGCGGCGACCTTGTCAAATTGCTTGATAGGATCTTGAAAGAAATCACGCGGCGGCAACGGGGGGAAAGTTGGATAATCATCCGGGTTGGGGACATAAACGCCGTTGGTATCCTCGTCTTTAAATTGGTTGTTTTGGTTCAACTTCCGCCGAAGGACTTGAAATGTTTTCGACCACAGCACAGCAGCTTTCGTCAACATGACGCCAAAAGCTTTGAGTGAGACTTCTGTGTGCTTGGTAGCAAGGTCTTGCATGGAGATCGATTTACCAAGACGTGAGGTGTACACGAGTAGAGGCGAAGTGTAAATCTTGGTTTGTCCGTGGTGAGGAATGAGGGGGCCAGAAACAAGACATTCCTGATCAGGTGGGGGGTTGTTGGTTTGTTGGTGTGACGGACAAACCAACCAAGGGGCTCAGACTGATGAGGGAAGCTCGAAATTGAACCGCCCTCAGCTCGGGTCATAACTCAGAACCAACATCGATATCAGAGGCACAGCAAGGCGATCAAACATAACGATTAACGGGCTACCCAAAATGACAACCAGTATCAATCACCCAGTTCTCGGAGTGCTCGTTAATTCGGGAAATGCAGGAGCCCCTTACCAATATCAACATGCCTCGCTACTGGAGGCAACGGCTCGCGGCGGCGATCCTGGCACGACACGCGAGAAAGCCAAATGTAACAAACCACACCGATTCCATCAGAGTCGTCTGTATATCCGATACCCACAACTACCAGCCAAACTTGCCACCAGGAGACATTCTCATCCACGCCGGCGACCTTACCGAGAACGGGTCGTTTGATGAGGTGCAAGCGGGCATCGCCTGGCTTTCTTCCCAACCACACCCCTTCAAAATCCTCATCGCCGGCAACCACGACGTCCTACTCGACGAAGCCTTTCTTCAGAAACACCCCGAACGGCGATACGGGCAACCCAAAACAAAGAAAGACCTAGACTGGGGCGATGTCATCTACCTCCAAGACTCAACCATCACCCTCGACGTCCCTATCCACACTCCAAACAGGGCCGCATCACAACCACAAACCAGAAAAGTAATTATCCACGGCAGCCCCCGGACCCCACAATACGGCATCTCCGCCTTCCAATACCCCCCCACCACCGGCCCCTCCCTCTGGTCCGAGCAGTTGAGCCACCACCAAGACCACACCACCGAGCCCAAGCCCACCCCAGGCCTTGACATCCTCATCACCCACGGGCCCCCCAAGCTCTACCTCGACCACCGCGACATCCACCGCGCGGGCTGTCCCTACCTGCTGAGCGAGGTATCCCGCATCCGGCCGCGGCTGCATGTCTTTGGGCACATCCATGTCGCCTACGGGCGCGAGGATGTCGTGCTGGACGGGGTGCGGCAGGCGCATGATGATGTGCAGATTGGGTGGGGAGGATGGGAGTGTGTGGCGTGGATGGTGGTGTTGGTGGGTTGGGGGTGGGTGAAGAGGGTGGTTTTGGGGCTGTTTGGGTTTGGGATGTGCTTTAGCAGGGGGGAGGGGGAGAGGATGACGACTTTTGTGAATGCGTCGGTTGTTGGGGGGAGGGGGAATGAGGTGAGGAATGGGGCTGTGGTTGTGGAGATTTGAGGGTTGGTGTTGATGGTATGTAGGCATCTATGTGGGTATATCTTGCAGTTCAGGGGCTTCTCTGGTTTGTTTGGTAGGTCGGCGTACCGAATACATAATGTAGGAACATGAAAACGTGCCTGTACTCAAATGTCCACGCGGTGATGTATTTCTCTCCTCCACCGCTGAACATACAACTGGGCGTTACCTCCCTGTTAGGCATTATGCCCCTTTTTGCTCTCCTTTAAGTGACGGCGATCACAGAGCCTAATCCCGCTGGAGATGGCTAACTTCAAGGGTGGTCTACGCCTTGAGAACGGCGGCAAGAATCGGAAACGTTTTCGAGAGGGCAAGGCCAAATTGATAGCATATAACAATTCTGAGGATCAATGGCCTGCACTGTTGCTGGAGTGCAACGGGGATGCCCCTCTCATACCCAGGTATCTCATAATATCGACGGCGGTTCCGGGAAAACATTGCCTTGAGGCGGCGGTGAAAATGGAAATAACCTCTTGAAAACAAGAAACAGAGCCTAAGTTAGATGCGTCGGCAAGATGAATACCCCGCCAAGTAAGGTATGGGATCATTCCGGGGGAAGGCGCGCTCTTCCCGTAACTTCTTACGGTCCTTTTCCAGAAGGGTTCCATTGTTTACTTGGATTTCTCCTCACTACACATTTCCGTTTCCCATAACCGTTTGACAAAACTTGAGCCCTCTTTAACATCTCCGTTGTGGTTGGCATCATTGCATCCTTTCCTGTTGAATAAACAGTTTGGACTACGGAACTACACGCCAGGCCCAATTTTCATCCTCAGCGACGAGTTCGAGACAACGAGTCAGCCATCTTTTCAATCTTTCCCACTCCTTTGTCGCCCATCCCACTTATTGGCCCCGGCTATCCGTTATTCGACAGACGTTTAGCATTCCGCTACGACCCCCAACATGAAGTTGGCTTTTGCGCTTCTGTTGACCGTGGCGCCGGCCGTGTGGGCCGCCTACTGGATGGAAGACATCGGCCGCCAGGGCATCACGCCGTTTGCCTCGGCACAAGACTACAAAATCTTCCGGAACGTGAAGACTCTGGGGGCTAAGGGAGACGGAGGTAGAAATACCCAGACCTGATCATCATTCCATACAAATAAATATGCTAATCACTGTACAGTGACCGACGACACGGCGATCATCAATCGCGCAATCAGCGATGGCAACCGCTGCGGCGGCCCTGGCTGCGTCGGCTCAACCACCACACCGGCCACTGTTTACTTCCCGCCCGGAGTTTACCTCATCACTGCCCCAATCACCAGCTTCTACTACACCCAGATCATTGGTGACCCTACCAACATGCCCGTCATCAAGGCTGCCTCGAACTTTCCGACCGAGGCAATTGCCATGCTTGATGCCGACCCTTACATGGACAGTGGCAGTACGTATCACTCTCTACTATTTGATTCGGATCAATTGCTGACGGCTCCGTGATTAGAGCTCAACTTCCAGGCAACAAACGTGTTTTTCCGCCAGGTCCGCAACCTGATATTTGACACGAGAGATGTTCGTGGGACAATGACGGGCATTCACTGGCCATCCTCCCAGGCAACCATGATCCAGAACTGTGTCTTTGAACTCTCTTCTGAAGAAAACGACAATCACGTCGGCATCTTTATGGAAGAGGGTAGCGGTGGCATGATGACCGACCTGGTTTTCCGCGGCGGCAAATACGGTGCTCGGTTCGGGAACCAGCAGTACACGATGCGCAACCTCAGCTTTTACGGCTCGGATACAGCTATCGACCAGATATGGAACTGGGGATGGACGTACAAGTCGCTTAAGATTGTCAATTCCCGCGTTGGCATCAACATGTCTTCTTCTGATGTCGGCTCGGTCACCCTCTTCGACAGCTCGTTCGTCAACGTCAACACGGCGTTGATCACTGGTCGGACTCCCGGAAACACAACAGGCCTCGGCTCATTAGTGATCCAGAATGTCGCGTATGAAAATGTCCCGACTGTTTTGGCAGGGGCAGACGGGGATCCTCTGCTCTTGGGTGACCCAAATGGGACCGTCTACGACTGGGGCTACGCGAGGGTAAGCTTGTCTCCCCATAAAATCAGGTCACTATTAACTTAACCGTCAGGGAAATTCATATGCTCCACACGGGCCCTCCCTGCTCGAGGGGCGGGAGTTTACCTTTTCTCAACCTTCGACTCTGAAGCTCGGAGACCGCTACTACGAGAGATCGAAGCCGCACTATGAGAACTACCCCGCTGCCCACTTTGTCAAAGCACGAGACCATCATGCCGTTGGCGACGGGCACGTCGATGACACGGAAATGGTCCAGGCAACTATCCAGGCTGCGGTGAATTCTTCATACATCGCCTTCTTGGATGCCGGATACTACAAGGTCACCGACACCATCTTCATCCCACCAAATACCCGTGTTATGGGCGAAGGCCTCGCTACCGTCATCATGGGATCCGGTGAGAAGTTCTCAGACCCGAATAATCCCCGTCCCGTAATTCGGGTCGGAAACCCCGGTGATGTCGGGTTTGTCGAGATGAGCGACCTCATCGTATCGACCCAAGGGCCCACTGCAGGGGCCGTCATGATCGAATACAATCTCAACACGCCGGCTGCAGAGAACACGTGCAGCCCGGGAAGCCCGCCCTCGGGGATGTGGGATGTCCACATCCGTGTTGGTGGCTTCACCGGATCGCAGCTTCAAGTGGCCGACTGTCCCACCACGCCAGACGAGGCCAACTACGTCAACCCGTCGTGCATTGCTGGCTACATGGGGATGCACATCACTCCTAGCGCTAGGAATCTATACATGGAGAACAACTGGATTTGGGTGGCAGACCACGACATCGACGACTGGAACTCGACCCAGATAAGCGTTTTCGTGCCTCGCGGAATGCTGATCGAAGGGGACCGCATTTGGGCGGTCGGAAGCTCTGTTGAGCATTTCGCCATGTACCAATACCAGCTGTTGAACGCCTCAGACGTCTGGATGGGCCAGATTCAAACCGAGACACCGTACTATCAGCCCAACCCACCGGCTCCATACCCTTTTACCCAGTTGAATGCCGACATTCGCGACCCCGACTTTACCGCCGACTGCCAAAGCAACGAGGCCAATGGCTCTCTGGGCTTGGAAGGAAACCCGCCCTGTGCAATGGCATGGGGTCTGCGCATCATCGGCTCGAGGAACGTGGTTGTTTTCGGCGCGGGCTTGTACAGCTTTTTCAACAATTACAACACGAGTTGCAGCACCGTTGAGGCGGGTGAGAACTGCCAGGCGCGCATCTTCTCGGTCGGGCCAGACACGGTGGGAGGTGGGAGTGATACCGATGAAGCGGACCTGTTGACGGTGGAGCTGTATAACCTGAACACTGTCGGCAGTGTGAGCATGATTACTCGGCAAGGGTTGGATATGGCGACGTGGGATCAGAATAGGGCAACATTTGCGAGCACTCTGGCCGTTTTCCGGTCGGAGGGTCAAGTGTGAAGGGCTGCTATTGTTTGAGCTAGGGGACCACGCCATCCCTTCGGGCAGAAGGACTGTTTCATATGCCCAAATAACAAAACCTCGAGAAGAGCCCATTGGGATTTGACACCGTTCTTGATGTTCTGGTTAGGGGAGGATGTGCACTCGGGGGTCGGCCGAGACCGCTGGTTGGGCTAAGTTGTTATGATATCTCGATCTGCCTGGTATGCAGGGTTAGGTGTAGCTGGAAGAAATGAATTGACTCTTCACACTTGAAGTTGCTCGCAAATCGGTGCTGGCGGTCATCACGTCTAGTGAGTGGTGGCTTGGTGTATATCGATCATGGCCCCCTGGACCCGCGGCAAGGGCGGCAGACGCGCAAGCAAGTTCACAACCCTCCCTCCATTGCGGTTAACAAAAGCCATGCTCCGCAAACATGTCAAAAGTCAAGATCAAGCATTGATAACCCGAACATCACGCCGATCGAACGTGGATAGTGCCCATACTCGTCGGGCCTTCAAAAACGGCGCCTCCCAACCCCCGCCAGGGGGTTAGTCGGGGCGGTTAATCTGGGTCACAACAGTATATCTGGGTCAATTTTGCAGGGACTTGAATTTACTAGCAATCCCTACCAAAATGGAAGTCTCCCGCACTTTGCAAATTACCCCGTCAAATGTAAGCCAAGGCTCCCAAATCGCCATCCTCTACATCGCTATCGATAACCCCTGAATCTACAGATTAGATATCGCTATCATCGCTATCGCCGCCTATAGTTGTGGTGTTGAGATCTTTATAGCTAATCTCCTTACTTTCGAGCTATACGTTGATAACTTGTTTAACCAGAGCCTTCCTCTCTGGGTTATATAGCTAAGGAATAATGCTAAGCTTCGGATCGTCGCTAGGAGGTAATTAACTTAGAGGTAGAGTAATATCTTTAATAGAGCGGCTAACCTACTATATTTCAGCCTCTGTAGTATACTGTTTTTCTATAATATAGTTATCCCACTACTGTTAACGTAACTGTCGATATTGCTCTGCTAGTGTGACGAACCTGTCTCTGGACCCGTCCTGTTAGGGTTCAGTATCGGTCGAAGGTATTCTCTCAAGGGTGCTTAGGTTCGGTGCAGCCAAAGGGTGCACAACAAAGACTTGTCTCAACAGTAGGCTCTCGAGCTTGTAGCGAACTGTAGTTGTGATTGCTAACTGGAGAACTCCCAGAGCTCTCCAGAACGAGTGACTATATACTATCTAATCCTGTTGCTCAAAGTGCTCAAAGCCCCGTCGCTGAGCATTCTGAGCACATGGTGCTCAGAGTGCTCACAACGTCCTTGATGAGCAGAATGAGCACCTGCTCATTTTCTTGGCACAGTCCTTCATGAGCAATGAGAGCTACCGTCCCATTGGCCATACATCTTCCTTAATGATTGGCTCGGGGTGCTGCCAGCGTACCCCGCCGGCCGGCTGCAGGCGGCCATATCCGTGACACGATGCCCCTCCCCTGAGGTCGGCGCCTCGACGACTTGTTCTTTTGCCAATTTCCCTGAAATAGCGCCAACAGCCTTAAATTCTTTTCTGGGTAAGTGCTTCGCTCCTTCCATTCATTGTTGCCAATCATGCCTGTTAATCGTGTGCGAAAGAACCGTTCCCAAAAGTCCAGCACCGAACGTCGTCGTCACCGTGCCGCGGAACTTAGCGTTTTCGCTGTTGAGATGGTTCGTTGTTCTCGTTGCGAAGAAAAGAAACTTCCCGATTGTCGCGTCCCCGAGGGCGACGATACTTGCACCAACTGTTCTAGCGTCGCCAATCGGTCCTGCGATTGTTTTGGGTACGACGAGTCGTCTATCCAGCGTGTGGTGGCTCGGAAACGCGAACTGGATAAGGAGCAGCGGGAGGCCGATCGCGCCTTGGGTGCGGCTTTGGCCAAGGTAGATCGTCTTCGTCGGCAGCGCGAGGCCTTGGAGGTGGAAGCCCTCCGCATGTTCCGCAAGGAGAGCGAGGTGTTGACGGAACAGGAGCGCTGCGAGGTCCTGGGTGCTGCGGCCGCTCCTCCTCCCTGGGCTCAAGAGTTCGCCTCTCCGTCCTCCCCAGCCGCCCCTTCTTGCTGACCATGCTTAGTTTTCCCTTGGACGACCCCTTCTTCGCCGGGGTCGACCTGTCTGCGGGGTTCCCTTTGGTCGATCAGGGTTCCTCTGGTGGAACTCCTGAAGTTTCTCGGGGCAGTTGAGATTTGTAGCTGGTTGCCATGAATTGTCTTCCGGACCAAAGTCCAGCCACTTGACCAAATACTCCAACTGTCCTTTCGTGATGCGTGAGTCTAGGACTTCCTCAACGTCCCATTCCTCCTCTTCGTCTTCTGCCTCGGCGTCCTTGTCGAGTCGTGCGCCTTTGGGCGCTGGTTCCAGAAGCGAAATGTGGAAAACGTTGGTCCGTAGTCGCATTGTCGAGGGTAACGCGAGTGCGTAATTGTTCTCCGAAATCTTCTTGTCGATCTTGAACGGTCCGATTTTGCGAAAGTCGAGCTTCCTGCTTGGTCGCTTCGTGCGAAGATTTCGAGAAATGAGGTAAACTTTGCCCCCCTCTTCTAGGCGAGGTCCCTCGAGCCTGTTTCTGTCGTAGAACTTCTTCATCCGTGTTCGTACGAATTCGAGTTCTTCCTTGAGCATCGCGTGCAGCGAGCTCATTTTGTCGGCTTTGACTGCCGCTCTGGGCACCGAGACCTCGGGCCCTTGTCGCAAATCTGCTTCGTAGCCGTAATTCGCGAAGAATGGTGTGACCTTCGTGGTTTCCGTGACGGTGGTGTTGTAGGCGAGTTGTGCCGTTGGCAACAGCTCGACCCAATCATCCTGCTGGAAGTTGACGTACAACCGTAGGTATTGTTCAACGATCTGGTTGAGTCGTTCCGTCTGTCCGTCCGTTTGGGGGTGGTAAGCAGTCGAAAGCTTACTCTTCGTACCCAGCTTCGTCATCAGAGCTCGCCAGAACTTTGATGCGAACTTGGTGTCTCTGTCCGTGATCCATTCCTCCGGCCATCCGTGGACCGAGGTAATGTTGCGGTAGATCACGTCTGCGAGTTGTTCTGCCGACCATGTTTCCTTGTAAGGGAGGAAGTAGCTCCACTTGGTGAGTCTGTCCACCATCGTGAGAATGCTGTCGTATTCCACTCCCGTTACTGAGTCCTTGGATGTCGGCAGCTTGGTGATGAAGTCCATCGTCACCGAGCTCCATGGTCGTTCTGCAACTGGCAATGGCTGTAACAGCCCGTACGGCTTGTGTCGTCCTGGTTTGCTTCGCTTGCAGAGGTCGCATTCCGCCAGGACCCCTTCTGCCGTTTGCTTGATTCCTGGGAAGTCGTAGTTCTGCTTGACTTTCGCAATTGTCTTGCCGATTCCCATGTGTCCTCCGAGTCTTGACTCGTGGATTTTTTGAATGAGCTCCTTTTGGTCACCAAGCCTGACGTAGGCCTTGTCATGGTACCAGAGTCTCGTTCCATCAAGTCGCAATCCCGCGATCTTGGATTCTGGCTCTTCTTGCCATGCATCGCGCTCGTCGTCCGCGATGATTCCTTGGAAATCTTGTTCCAATCGTTGTTCCCTGAAGGCCGCACAGCATTCTACAAACGGTTGCAGAGGCCTAGCTTCGGGATCTTCCGACTGTCGCTGAAGTGCTGCGATCTCGTAGTCTTCAGTCGGTTGGGAAGCGTGCCGTAGCGATCCGTCTGTCTGTTGATGTAGCAATGGTGGTGAGGCTTCAGACGTGTTGTCGTGATGATCCGCTCTCCTACTCAAGGCGTCCGCTCGTGCGTTTTCTGAGCCTTTCTTGTAGTGGATCGTGAAGTTGAATTCGGACAGAAATTCTGCCCATCGAGTCTGTCGTCCGTTCAGCACCTTGGTGGTGGTGAAGTATCGTAAGTTCTTGTGGTCCGTGTACACCTGGACCTCGTGTGTCGTGCCGCTGAGGTATGGTCTCCATTCCTGAAATGCTTCGATGATTGCGAGAAGCTCCTTGTCGTGGATCGGGTAGTTAAGCCTTGGTCCTTCGAGTTTCTTGGAGAAGAACGCAACTGGGTGAAGCTTGCCGTCCTTGTCCCTCTGACCAAGTTGTCCTCCGATCGCGAAGTCCGAAGCATCAGCCTCGACTTCGAAAGGTGTGCTTGGATCAGGCAGCATGAGCACCGGGTCGGCGATGATCGCATCGCGGATCCGCTGGAAAGCCTGCTCGTGCTCCTGCTTCCACTGGAATGTGGCATCCTTCTTGGTAAGTTCGTGCAGAGGTCTCGCGAAGTCGCCGAAATTCTTGATGAACATTCTGACGAAGTTGGCGAATCCGATAAATCCTCTGACCTCTGTGGCGTTCGTCGGTGTCGGCCACGTCTTAACAGCTTCCAGTTTCTCGGGTTCGATCTTGACCCATCCCGGGGAGATTTCGTAACCCAGAAACACTGTCTTCTTGACATGAAACTCGCTCTTGTCCTTGTTGACTGACAATTTGTGCTCGTGCAGTGCGTCCAGCACCTGCCGCACGTGTTTCTTGTGTTCTTCGAGTGTCTTGGAGTAGATGAGAATGTCATCCAAGTAACAGACTGCAAATTTATCGAGGCAATGTCGAATTGCGTGGTCGATAGCGGCTTGAAACGTCGCTGGTGCGTTGGTCAACCCAAATGGCATAACGAGGTACTCGTAGTGTCCGTAGGGTGTCCGAAAAGCCGTCTTCCATTCGTCTCCTTCCTTGATGCGGATGTGGGCGTACGTTGTTGGAAGGTCGAGACGCGTGAAGTATTGTGCCCCTGACAGCTGGTCTCGAAGCCTTGCGATCAGTGGCAGTGGGTAGCGGTTCTTCACCGTTTCGCCGTTCAACTGTCGGTAGTCCACACACATCCTGAGCTTCCCATCTTTCTTTGGAACGAAGAGGACTGGGTAGCCTGCTGGAGATGTCGATGGTCTGATGTGTCCTATCTCGAGGTTCTTTTCGAGATAACTCCTCAACTCTGCATCTTGCTTCTCGTTGGTGTGGTATACCTTGAA